TTTAATATTATGAAATTAATAATGTAATAGAGTTTCAATTTTTTTGCGAAAATTAAAAACATATTCAAATTGAATTTCTAAAATGAAATGAAATACTAAAAAGTAAATTAATCTATATCTTCCATTACACCATCCCCAATCAAATGATCAATATTCCCATTTTGATTAACAAAGAAATCAGAGACATCTAAATGAGTCACATCAATTGAATCATAATAATCAGAAAAATTTATCTCCACTTTTCCTTGATTGATTTTTGGTAGAGATTTACAAGATGTTTTGCTGTACGGCATTAACGTGCCCAATGTCCTTTCATTCCACATCTAATGCAACTTTTTTCATGCTCCTTTTTGGATATACTACTTTCGTTTGCTTCGTACCTTTTGAAATTGTTGTTTTGTTGCTGATAGCTTTGTTAATTGTTTTGTCCATGGTTTATTCCACGCTCACGCCCACGCCACATCCAGTCCACGTTCACATTCTTGTCTTGATATTGCATTTGCTTCAGACAATGGTACAGAACCAGTGGACATGAACCATGATTTTCCATCTGCAGTTCATTATTTTATTTAACCACAAGCAGATAATATATGAGTTCTGAGTACCTTTTGAAACCACGCTTATGATATTACTACTACAGGAGGACATTCGAAGGGTAAAAGGTGGAACAAATTTTTTCCAATATATCTTCATCTATGATTTTTTTTCTCCACACAAAGTTAATTTTGAAAATATTCTGAACAGTTCAGAATTGTATTTACTAATAGTTTTGAAGTCTTGCAAACGAAGGTACATCCATTTGTAGAGGGCTTTGGGTATGACTACAATACTCTGATGATCAAATTTTTCAGTTAATTTTTTTCAAAGAACTTGTGGATCTTTCTTAGTGAGATATTCAATTTTCAATCCATCGTTAAGATGATGACGAAGAAAGAGCTTTTGCACGATCTTACAGGGATTCTTTGTTTCCTTCTTTTATTATCTTTCCCAAATATTTTGAAACAAAATGTATATCATCATCGAGTACCTATGATAGATAGTTTTTGCCAAATATGTCAAGTGTAACAAATTCAAGTTTTGTGATGTTTGTCATTTGATTAATTACAAAATAAAATAAAAGAAAATACAATTAATTTCGAAAAAATGATTAGACATCACATAATAGTTAATCAAGTAGTCAATATCAACATGACATAAGTTATATTTTTTCCTTCAGGGATAAATACTAATTTAAAATAATATGTTTTTCGAAACATGTACTACTTCAGGAACACGTATTTTCCTATTGCTTTTTGAAGAGTGATATGTCAATATTCTTTTGAAATATTGAAAATTTTAATGCATGCTCTTCAGGAGCAAATAATATTCATATGGAATATGAATTATAATGTCGTGTTAATTCAGGAACAACAACAAATTATTTGTAATCGATAGATCTAGATTAATATTTTTTTGGAATATTAATTATAATACTGTGCTACTTCAGGCACAACAATAATTAATAATGAATTTATTAATTGATATTTTATTACTAAACATAAAAAGTGATGATTAAACATTCAATTGCCCACCATATTGATAATATTAATTATTCTAACAAAACACGTAAAATATTGCCATGAATTCATTAATGTGAATTGAGTGGAGAAGAGGAATTTTTTTTTTTTTTTGATAATTATGACATGCAGAAACCAATTCACAGACTACATGGTTATGTAAGTTGCTTTTCATCAAATTGACCAGGAAGAAGCCATTAGACATGCATATACAAACAGGATAAAATTAAGCGGAAACTCGTGAAGTTGGCATAATATTAATTCAATGATGTGATTTTATGTACAGACTTGAATCATAAATATTGTATAAACATGAATTCAAAAACATAAATCATGCACATGTTGACTAAACATGAATGAACTAAATTCTATACATACATGCAAACAGATGTATGTACAGACGTGAATTGAAAACGCAAGTTACAATTTGACTGCAAGTTTGCACCGTTATGATGTGTGTGTATATTAAAAAAATTTCATATGTCACCAAATTAATTTTGATACACGTGGTAGATAATTCTGCTTAAAAAATTCCTACATTTACTAGATTTGAAAGAGTTAAATGTTCGTGTTGATAACGTGTAATAAAAAGAGAGAAAAAGAGAAGAGAAAATAATGGTTAATAAACTTGTGTGCATTACAATGAAAATCAAAATCATATATTTATAATGAATGATTAGGATACAATGGTAATAATTTATAGGGTTGCAGCGGTACAATTGTCATTTACTAATAAACTTACTATTTACAACAATAACTACAAAAATTTCAATATACATTTTCAAAAATAAGAAACTTGTAGGATTTTGTCAAAAATCAAGTAATCATATTTTGTGAGTTTTGATAAAATATTGTGACCTACAATTATCCCCACTCTACAACCGTCGATATATCAAATCTACAATCCACCACCACACAACCATCACCACCTCCTCCATCGCACTACTACCACTTACACCTCATCCACAATCATCACCTACACATGCACCTTAAGTCCTCCACACAACCACCAGAACAACCTCCATCTCCATCGTATCATCACAACTACCCGCACCTTATCTACAACTATTGATTTTACCTGCACCTCAAGTCCACCACCACTACCACCACCTCAACCTCAAATCCACTACCCAATATCAGATTTGTAGCTATAGATGTCACTTCGGCCCAGATTAATCCAGACAAGCGCAAATGTTATCAGCCACTTGTGCTAGGCCTTCTAACGGCATTAGCCACCTCCGCTCATGGATCTAGAATTGGTGATGAGTTGTGATTGGTTATGATAATGGCCAAGAAAGGAGAAGGTGACGATCAGTTGCTAGAGAGAGAGAGAGAGAGAGAGAGAGAGCAGACACAAACTATACAACTTGGTTACAAATTATCGAATTATTTGGCCACAAATTATTTCTCGGTCACAAATAAAAAACTCTATATGTCACAAATAAAAAATCTTATAAGTTACAATTTATTTATCGTTCACAAATCACATATTTTATAAGTCACAATTTATTTAATGGTCACAAATCACATATTTTATAAGTCACAATTTATTTAACAAACACAAATTATCAAATTAATTAGTTACAAGTTACTTCTCGATCACAACTTAATAAAATGTGAGTTACATCACATTTTTAGGTCACATATTATTTATTGGTCACAATCTATCAAATAATAGTCACAAACCATCCATGACCATCACACCATTGCCATGACCACCACAAACATTACCCCCGCCACACCAGACAGTCAACATCACCACCACACCCCATTTGAACCCACCATAGTAACCGCATAACCATCACCAACACTGCCACACCACTGCCAACTAGCTATGTCAACGAGCCGAGCCGAGCCGAGCCGAGCCCGAGCTTTTTTCGGGCCCGAGTCTTAGCGGGCCGAGCCGGCTCGATTTTTTATTTTTTTTAAATTTTTTTCAGCTATTTTAGCTTAAATTTTTTTTTTTTTTTTTTAATTGATCACGGGCCGGCCCGGCTCGGGCCGACCCCCCAAAATGGGGCTTGAGCCGAGTCTAGGTTCGGTTCCACATAGCTCGAGCCGGGCTTTTTTGCCACCACTACTGTCAACATCACCACCGCATCAACCACAACATCACCATATACCACCTAAACCCACCACAGCACCCACATCATCGCCACCATAATACCACCGTACCTCACCATCGCCTCCCACCACTACATTGCATTGTGAATCATCGGAAAAGAACACAACAAACCATCAAAAATTAAACTAATGAAAAAAAGGCCGCGTTCCGCACACATCAGTCGCTAATTTGCCACTCACGATGTGCAGGAGCAACTACATCGCTGCTCAAGGTTGGGCATCACCGTTGCAACGAATCTATGCAATAGAACGTTGCAACTCATCTCACTGCAGCTGCAGCTGCGTCGCACATTGCACCTTTCAGTTTTTCATTGCCTGCGCCGCGCCGCGCCATGCCATGTGTGGCCTCCTAATCGTTGGCGAGATGATAAAGAGTGTGAGGGAAGATAGATTGGTAAGAGGTTTAGAGGGAGAAAGAAAGGAGGGAGATAATTAGGGTTTGAGATTGAAATTGTGTACGGTAAATTAATTAATTTTTGAATTATCATATTTACTTCATGTTTGTCATCCATTTTATCAAACATTATTTGCTACAGTAAACAATCTCCACCACATATTCACTCAATAAAATATTCTACACACAAACCAATAAAATTACTTTACTTTTCAACCACACATTCTCCAAAAAATACTATTCAAAACTCTGTTTCTTCTCCCAAAATGGGAGACAAACAAGCACTTAACACTGGCCATAGGTCCATACTCNAACCTAACCTATGATTTATGAATTCAGATATTGAAAACATTTAAATCCCTATAATTTCCACTTATAAAAAAGGTAAGCAAGAATTAAGCCAAAGATGATAATGCAATTCACTCAACCATAAGTAATTACGATGAGGTAGATCAAATGGATTTCGAGATGTTCCTCATTTGTCATTAAACTTTTAAAGTTTTCTGAGTTGTCATTGAACTCATCGAAATATTTGCATCAGTTGCTCTGTTACTCATGATTTTTGTTAAGTTTAAGAAACCTACCAAAATGTTATCTCATCTGTCGTCATTTCGTCTACTATATTATGCGACAATTAAAATATAGGAAGTGCTACAAGTACATTAGGGGTGCCATAATGGTGTCTACTCTCCAATGGTGGGGTGCCATGTGTCTATTCTGGATATCATTATGACACCTCTAATGTTGTATAAGAAGAACCACTCTCCAATGGTGGGGTGCCATGTGTCCATTCTGGACACCATTATGGCACCCCTAATGTATAAGAAGAATTATCCTTAAAATTTTTAGCTCTCTGTAAATTGTAAAAGTATTACAGTCCGCGGTGCGGTCCTAGGCCCATACATATGTTCCATTAGTCTATCATAATGCAAAACCAAACCCCGCCATGTTCCGCATCTCAGACAGAATTCTATGCATCCCTCCTCCAAACAAGCCTGAAAACCAACGACCCATTTACCATCAAACCAATCCATTGCCGCATAACAAAGTATGGACTTCACTTAGGCGTGTACTTGATGAATAATCTGATGAACGCATACGCAAAAAACGGGTTTATTCGCGATGCTCGCCGCATATTTGATGAAATGCCTCTCAAGATTACATCGTCGTATAACACACTTTTATCTGCATATGCTAAACAGGGCATGATATGCGAAGCTCGTTGTATCTTTCGTGAAATGCCGAATCCTGATTCTGTTTCTTGGACAGCGATGATTGTGGGATATAATCAATTAGGTCAATTTGGGACCGGTGTTTGGATGTTTCTGGAGATGATGAAACGGAAAATTGTGCCTACCCAATACACGGTTACTAATATTCTTGCGTCTTGTGCTGCCTATGAAGCGTTGGATATAGGCAGGAATGTTCACTCGTTTGTTGTTAAACTTGGCCTCTCTGGCTGTGTATCTGTAGCTAATTCTTTGGTAAATATGTATGCTAAGTCAGGTGATGTTGAGACAGCAGTCGTTGTTGTCGATAGAATTAAGTTAAAGAACGTTTCAACTTGGAATGCCACAATATCATTGCATATGCAAATGGGTCAAGTAGACCTTGCACTAGCTCAGTTTAAGGAAATGACCGAACGTGATATTATTTCATGGAATTCAATGATTGCAGGTTATAATCAGCATGGTTCTGATGTTGAAGCTCTGAATATGTTCTCAAAGATGCTCAGGGAATCTCGATTAAAGCCTGATAGATACACTCTGGCTAGTGTGTTGTCTGCTTGTGCAAATCTTGAGGAGTTAAAATCAGGGAAGCAAATCCATGCTCATATCATTAGAAGTGAATTTGATACTTTTGGGCCAGTAGGGAATGCGTTGATCTCCATGTACTCAAAGGGTGGCAGTGTCAAAATAGCAGAAAAGATTTTAGAGCAGTTCGGAACATCCATTTTAAACGTTATAGCATTTACAGCCTTATTAGATAGTTACGTCAAGCTTGGGGATTTAAATCCTGCCAGACAGATTTTTGATTCATTAAAAGATCCTGATGTAGTTGCATGGACAGCTATGGTTGTTGGCTATGTGCAGAATGGCCTCAATGATGAAGCAATGAAGCTCTTCAGATCAATGATCAAAGAAGGTCCAAAGCCTAATAGCTATACTTTAGCAGCTATGTTGAGTGTCAGTTCAAACTTGGCTTCTTTGAATCATGGTAAACAAATTCATGCAATTGCAGTAAAGTTGAGGGAAGCATCAGCGGTTTCTGTGAGCAATGCATTGATTAATATGTATGCTAAGGCTGGTAATATCAATTGTGCACAGAGGGTATTCAATGTAATACAAATGAACAGAGATGCAGTCTCTTGGACATCCATGATTCTGGCTTTAGCTCAACATGGGCACGGAGAGGAGGCCTTACAACTCTTTGAGAACATGCTGGAGATTGGTATTAAGCCAGACCATATAACTTATGTTGGTGTTCTTTCTGCCTGCACACATGTGGGATTGGTGGCTAAAGGTCGTAGTTACTATAAAATGATGAAAAATATCCATGGGATCAAACCCACATCTAGCCACTGTGCTTGCATGATTGACATGTTTGGTCGTGCGGGATTGCTAGGGGAAGCGCAAGATTTTATAGAGAACATGCCGATTGAACCAGATGTCATAGCTTGGGGTTCACTTTTAGCTTCTTGTAAAGTTCACAAAAATGTGGAGCTAGCAAAAATTGCAGCTGAAAGATTGCTTTCAATTGAACCTGATAATAGTGGGGCCTATTCAGCACTTGCTAACGTCTATTCAGCCTGCGGAAAATGGACCGAAGCAGCTCGGGTTAGAAAGTTGATGAAGGATAGGCAAGTGAAGAAAGAACAAGGAATCAGTTGGGTGCAAATCAAGACTGAAGTCCATGCCTTTGGTGCTGAAGATTTGCTTCACCCACAAAGAGATGCAATTTATCAGATGATGGCAAAAATCTGGGAGGAGATTAAAAGGATGGGTTTTGTTCCTGATACTGCTTCAGTATTGCATGATCTTGATCAAGAATTGAAAGAGCAGATTCTTAAACGCCACAGTGAAAAGCTCGCCATTGCATTTGCATTAATGAATACCCCAGATGGAACTACTATAAGGATCATGAAAAACCTTAGAGTTTGTAATGACTGTCATTCAGCAATCCAATTCATTGCGAAACTTGTTGATAGAGAAATTATTGTTAGAGATGCTACACGTTTCCACCACTTCAAAGGGGGTTCATGTTCATGTCATGATTATTGGTAAGTTTGGAACAATGTTATAAAGTATCCCTTGTATGGATAGCAGAATGATTTGACAGTGGCTGAACGAGAATTGGCAAACTTAAATGAGGTCCGAAGCATAAAGTTTTGGGATAAGCAGCAATAGTTGTAAGAGTAAATTTGCTGCTGTTACAAGCACGTGAGAATAGATAATGTTTTGCTGCAGATTCCGGTCCATGCACCGATTTGGATGATATTCTGAAGGAAATGTTGGACCAGCTGAGGTGGAATTCAAGAACTTTCTTGTTCAAGGTGAGTACATTTTGATTATGTGATGGCGTATCTTCACCTGGGCTCAAAGAAGTGGATGCTTCAAACATGAGATGAACTGTAAATGTCTTTCTGCTCATTTTGGGGTTTCTTGCAGTAATTGGGTCATATTTCTATAGAAACTTGAAACAGCTGAAGTAGAATCTTCTATAGTAAATAATGTTGCTACCTGTCTTGCCCAAGGAATTGCTGAAGCACAACAACTTAAAATCGCAGCAAATATTGCAGGGCATGCAGGGACAGTTATAACTACCTTAAGGAAAAAATGTGGTATGCTAGGGGTAGTAGTCTTTAGTTTACACTACCGATCTTTATATAAAAAGTAGTTATTATTGTTTTTTTTTAATGCCAATATCTTTACCGAGTATAGATGCAGGTGGAAAGATGGAAGAAAATTATTCACCAAATGTATCGTTGAAAATCACTAAAATTCTGCACATCTTATCAGCAAAACCAATCTTGTAGTTTGTCAAGGGTTTGTTATATAAATGGTTTGAATTATAAATAGATATATATATGAGTGATGGATAAATAGATAATACTTGTAGTTCCTTACAGGGTGGACGCAGAACTTTAACTTTGGGGGGGGGGGGGGG